AGCTATAGACCATCGTACCTCTTTACCTGATCTATCGATTGAAAACCAATACCTTGATCCAGGGATGTGTGCACGCTCATTCCCCTGATTACATATTTTTTATGCTCAGTCCACGATGCAAGACTAATAATTAAAGTTAAACATTCCCGACTAGTCACCACCGTAAAACAAATTTAGCCCTTTCTTTAAAAAGAGCATTGGTCTCCCAAAAATTTTTTTCAGGTGTCCGTTACTTTCTACCTAAGTTTCCTAGTAGGTCGCGAGAAAATTATTTTATAATTAGGCTGGCACTACATCGTTACCAAAGAAACAACGAGAAGAGAATAGAAAGAGCTCGCAACTTTTGGAACGTTTTTCTCAACAGCGAAAAAAAATTCGAGCAACCATACAAAACTTGACTTTAAAACTTTGCCTACATCCGACATAACAAATACAATTTTTACTTCTAACGTACCGATACTCCTTTGTTGATATCAGCTCCGTTCTCTAAAAGTAACCTAACAATATCAATGTTACCATTCCTTACAGCTGCTCTGAGCGGAGTGTCCTATAAGAAGGAAAAAAATTGGAAAAAGCTCGGTAATGTATCAAGGCAATATTCTCCTCTTTGAATGGCCACGGTAAGGATAAATGTGCGTTTGGAACAACTACATTCTGCAGGACTTTTTCAAGCTAAGGTCAGAAGGAGTTTTACCTGGTACAATAGTTCACCAAATCATAGCAATTCTTATTAATGGTTGGAAGGGGTACTAAGAATGAAGCAAAAAAAGAATACTCTATGCAGGAATAATAGGCATCAACTTTTCAAGCAAAGCTTATCAAAGTAACACTTGAAAAGAACTTAATGGGTAGAAAGTCTCATACACATGAGACAGTTTCACATTGACTAATGGAAAAACTGCGCAGTTTTAAACCATATTTAATCGAAACGTCCTTTGAGTCGTTCCTTTAAAGGTCATGATTTCCATAATCGAGTAACGGGCTTGGTGCACACTTCTAGAAGTACCTTTTCTTCCCTTCGATGATTTTTTTTCAATTACTCTAATTTAAAGAGGATAATTTATACACTAAAAATTAGGCAAAGAAGATATAGGTAACCGTGCTCGTTCGACAGCTATAGACCATCGCACTTCTTTACCTCATCTATCGATTGAAAACAAATACCATGATCCAGGGATGTATGCACGCTTATTCCCCTGATTACATATTTTTTATGCGCAGTACACGATGCAATACTGATAATTCAACTTAAACATTCTCGACTAGTCACCACCATCAAACAAATTTAGCCCTTCCTTTAAAAGGAGCATTGGTCTCCAAATAATTTTTTTTCTAGGTTTGCGTTACTTTCTACCCAAGCTTCCTAGTAGCTCGCGAGAAAATTATTTTATGAGTAAGCTGGCACTACATCGTTACCAAAGAAACAACAAGAAAGGAATAGAAAGAGCTCGGAACTTTTGGAACGTTTTTCTCAACAGCGAAAAACATTCGACCAACCATACAAAACTGGACTTTCAAACTTTGCCTATACTCGACATAACAAATAGAATTTTTGCTTCTAACGTACCGGTACTCGTTTGTTGACATCAGCTCCGTTCTCTAAATGTAACCTAACAATCTTAGTGTGATCATTCTGTAATGCTGCAGTGAGCAGAGTGTCCTATAAGTAGGAACAAAATTGGAAAAAGCACGGTAATGTATAAAGGTCATATTCTCCTTTGTGAATGGGCAAGGTAAGGATAAATCTGCGTTTGGAAACCCTACATTCTGCAGGACTTTTTCAAGGAAAGGTCAGAAGGAGTTTTACCTTGTACAATAGTTCACCAAATCATAAAAATTCTTATTAATGGTTCGAAGGGGTACTAAGAAGGAAGCAAAAAGAGAATACTCTATCCAGGAATAATGGGCATCTAAAACTTTTCATGCAAGGCATATCAAAGTAACACTTGAAAACAACATAATGGGTAGAAAGTCTCAAGCACATCAGAGAGTTTGATATTGACTAATGGAAAAACTGCGCAGTTTTAAACCATATCTAATCAAAACGTCCTTTGATTCGTTCCTTTCAAGGTCATGAATTCCATCATCGAGTAACGGGCTTGATGCACACTTTTAGCAGTACCTTTTTTTCCCGTCGATGACTTTTTTTTTTATTTCTCTAATTTAAAGAGGTTATTTTATACACTAAAAGTTAGGCAAAGAAAATATAGGTAACCGTGCTCGTTCGACAGATATAGACCATCGTACCTCTTTACCTGATCTATCGATTGAAACCAATACCATGATCCAGGGATGTGTGCACGCTTATTCCCCTGATTACATATTTTTTTATGCGCAGTACACGATGCAATACTGATAATTCAACTCAAACATTCTCGACTAGTCACCACCATCAAACAAATTTAGCCCTTCCTTTAAAAAGAGCATTGGTCTCCAAATAATTTTTTTTCCAGGTTTGCGTTACTTTCTACCCAAGTTTCCTAGTAGCTCGCGAGAAAATTATTTTATGACTAGGCTGGNAGGGATGTGTGCACGCTTATTCCCCTGATTACATATTTTTTTATGCGCAGTACACGATGCAATACTGATAATTCAACTTAAACATTCTCGACTAGTCACCACCATCAAACAAATTTAGCCCTTCCTTTAAAAAGAGCATTGGTCTCCAAATAATTTTTTTTCCAGGTTTGCGTTACTTTCCACCCAAGTTTCCTAGTAGCTCGCGAGAAAATTGTTTTATAACTAGGCTGGCACTACATCGTTACCAAAGAAACAAAAAGAAAGGATAGAAAGAGCTCACAACTTTTGGAACGTTTTTCTCAACAGCGGAAAAAATTCGACCAACCATACAAAACTTGACTTTCAAAATTTGCCTAAACACGACACAACAAATACAATTGTTGCTTCTAACGTACCCGTACTCCTTTGTTGACATCAACTCCGTTCTCTAAAAGTAACCTAACTATATCAGTGTGACCATTCTTTACAGCTGCAGTGAGCGGAGTGTCCTCCTATAAGTAGGACAAAAGTTGGAAAAAGAACAGTAATGTATAAGGGTCATATTCTCCTCTTTTAATAGCCACGGTAAGGATAAATCTGCGTTTGCAACAACTACATTTTGCACGACTTTTTGAAGCTAAGGTCAAAAGGAGATTTACCTTGTACAATAGTTCACCAAATCATAAGAACTCTTATTAATGGTTCGAAGGGGTACTAAGAGTGAAGCAAAAAGAGAATACTCTATCCAGGAATAATGGGCATCTAAAACGTTTTAAGCAAAGCTTATCAAAATAACACTAGAAAAGAACTTAATGGGTAGAAAGTCTCAAGCGCATGAGACAGTTTGATATTGACTAATGGAAAAACTGCGCAGTTTTAAAAACGATATCTAATCAAAACGTCCTTTCAGTCGTTCCTTTCAAGGTCATGATTTTCATCATCGAGTAACGGGCTTGATGCACACTTTTCGCAGTACCTTTTTTTCATATCGATGATTTTTTTTCAATTACTCTAATTTAAAGAAGATAATTTATACACTAAAATTCAGGCAAAGAAAATATAGGTAACCGTGCTCGTTCGAGAGCTATAGACCATCGTACCTCTTTACCTGATACAGCGATTCAAAACCAACACCATGATCCAGGGATGTGTGCACGCTTATTCCCCTGATTACATATTTTTTATACGCAGTACACGATGCAATACTCATATTTCAACTTAAACATTCTCGACTAGTCACCACCATCAAATAAATTTAGCCCTGCCTCTAAAAAGAGCATTGGTCCCCAAATAATTTTTTTCCAGGTTTCCGTTACTTTCCACCGAAGTATCCTAGTAGTTCGCGAGAAAATTATTTTATGACTAGGCTGGAACTACATTGTTACCAAAGAACAACAAGAAAGTAATAGGAAGAGCTCGCAACTTTTGGAACGTCTTTCTCAACAGCGAAAAACATTCGACCAACCATACAAAACTTGACTTTCAAACTTTGCCTATACCCGACATAACAAATACAAAATTTTTCTTCTAACGTACCCGTACTCCTTTGTTGACATCAGCTCCGTTCTCTAAAAGTAACGAACAATATCAGTGCGACCATTCTTTTCAGCTGCAGTGAGCGGAGTGTCCTATAAGTAGAAAAAAAATTGGAAAAAGCACGGTAATGTATAAAGGTCATATTCTCCTCTTTGAATGGCCATGGTAAGGACAAATCTGCGTCAGGAACAACTTCATTCTGCAGGACTTTTTCAAGCTAAGGTCAGAAGGAGTTTTACCGTTACTAAACAAACAACAAGAAGAGAATAGAAAGAGCTCGCAACTTTTGGAACGTTTTTCTCAACAGCGAAAAACATTCGACCAACCATACAAAACTTGACTGTCAAACTTTGCCTATACACGACATAACAAATACAATTTTTGCTTCTAACGTACCCGTACTCCTTTGTTGACATCAGCTCTGTTCTCTAAAAGTAACCTAACTATATCAGTGTGATTATTCTTTACAACTGTAGTGAGCGGAGTTACCTCCTATAAGAAGGAAAAAATTGGAAAAAGCACGGTAATGTATAAAGGTCATATTCTCCTCTTTTAATGGCCACGGCAAGGATAAATCTGCGTTTGGAACAACTATATTTTGCAAGACTTTTTCAAGCTAAGGTCAAAAGGAGTTTTACCTTGTACAATAGTTCACCAAATCATAGGAATTCTTATTAAAGGTTCGAAGGGGTACTCAGAATGAAGCAAAAAGAGAATACTCTATCCAGGATAATGGGCATCTAAAACTTTACAAGCAAGGCTTATCAAAGTAACACTTGAAAAGAACTTAATCGGTAAAAAGTCTCAAGCGCATGAGACAGTTTGATATTGACTAATGGAAAAACTGCGCAGTTTTAAACGATATCTAATCAAAACATCCTTTCAGTCGTTCCTTTCAAGGTCATGATTTCCATCATCGAGTAACGGGCTTGATGCACACTTTTCGCAGTACCTTTTTTTCACATCGATGATTTTTTTTCAATTACTCTAATTTAAAGAGAATAATTTATACACTAAAAATTAGACAAACAAAATATAGGTAACCGTGCTCGTTCGACAGCTATAGACCATCGTACCTCTTTACCTCATCTATCCATTGAAAACCAATACCATGATCTAGGGATGTGTGCACGCTTATTCCCCTGATTACATATTTTTTATGCGCAGTACACGATGCAATACTGATAATTCAACTTAAACATTCTCGACTAGTTACCACCATCAAACAAATTTAGCCCTTCCTTTAAAAAGAGCATTGGTCTCCAAATAATTTTTTTRCCCAGGTTTGCGTTACTTTCTACCCAAGTTTCCTAGTAGCTTGCGAGAAAATTATTTTATGACTAGGCTGGCACTACATCGTTACCAAAGAAACAACAAGAAGGTAATAGAAAGAGCACGCAACTTTTGGAACGTTTTTCTCAACAGCGAAACACATTCGACCAACCATACAAAACTTGACTTTCAAAATTTGCCTAAAACCGACATAACAAATACAATTTTTGCTTCTAACGTACCCGTACTCCTTTGTTGACATTAGCTGCTTTCTCTAAAAGTAACCTAACAATATCAGTGTGACCATTCTTTACAGCTGCAGTGAGCGGAGTGTCCTCCTATAAGTAGGAAAAAGATTGGAAAAAGCACGGTAATGTATAAAGGTTATATTCTCCTGTTTGAATGGCCACGGTAAGGACAAATCTGCGTTTGGAACAACTTCATTCTTCAGGACTTTTTCAAGCTAAGCTCAGAAGGAGTTTTACCTTGTACAATAGTTCACCAAATCATAAGAACTCCTATTAATGGTTCGAAGGGGTACTCAGAATGAAGCAAAAAAGAATACTCTATCCAGGAATAATGGGCATCTAAATCTTTTCAAGCAAGGCTTATCAAAGTAACACTTGAAAAGAACATAATGGGTATAAAGTTTGAAGCGCATGAGACAGTTTGATACTGACTAATGAAAAAACTGCGCAGTTTTAAACGATATCTAATCAAAACTTCCTTTGAGTCGTTCCTTTTAAGGTCATGATTTCCATCATCGAGTAACGGGCTTGGTCCACACTTTTAGCAGTACCTTTTTTTCCCCATCGTTGATTTTTTTTTAATTACTCTAATTTAAAGAGGATTATTTTTACACTAAAAATTACGCAAGGAAAATATAGGTAACCGTGCTCGTTCGACAGCTAAAGACCATCGTACCTCTTTACCTGATCTATCGATTGAAAACCAATACCATCATCCAGGGATGTGTGCACGCTTATTTCCCTGATTACATATGTTTTTATGCGCAGTACACGATTCAATACTGATAATTCAACTTAAACATTCTCGACTAGTCACCACCATCAAACAAATTTAGCCCTTCCTTTAAAAAGAGCATTGATCTCCAAATAATTTTTTTTCCAGGTTTGCGTTACTTTCTACCCAAGTTTCCTAGCAGCTAGCGAGCAATTTTTTTTATGACCAGGCTGGCACTACTTTGTTACCAAAGAAACAACAAGAAAAGAATCGAAAGAGCTCGCAACTTTTGGAACGTTTTTCTCAACAGCGAAAAACATTCGACCAACCATACAAAACTTGACTTTCAAAAGTTTCCCTAAACCCGACATAACAAATACAATTTGTGCTTCTAACGTACCCATACTCCTTTGTTGACATCAGCTCCGTTCTGTAAAAGTAACCTAACAATATCACTGTGACCATTAACCCAAAGTAAGTTAAAATGGCGTTATTTTGCTAAGGTTTACTCACGTTTTAGCCGCGACGGCAAAATGGCTTTCTTCACGTCACAGACAAGGCCGCTACGGCGGGAAACCTCACAACGACGGCA